TTTCACTTTCGATGACGATGGTAAAATACCATTCGCGGAGACCTTGAAACCCAGAAATTCTAGCTCACGCTTACCGAATTCACATTTCTTCAAGTTGACAATGAGCCCTTCCTTTTCAAAGATGGAGAGTACTTGACGAACATGCTTGATATGGTCTTCTAATGTCTTGCTAAAGATGCAACAGTCGTCCAAGTAAACCAAAGCGAATCTGTCAATGCAATCTTTTAAAACTCCGTTCATCCAAGTTTGGTAACTGGGTGGAGCATTTGAAAGTCCGAAAGGCAGCACGAGCCATTCCCATTTACCATATCGGGTATTAAATCCAGTAAGTGGGATATCAGAGTCTTTTAGCCTAATTTGGTGGTAGCCGGAACGAAGATCCAGGCAAGTGAACCACGAAGCGCCTTGCAAACGATCCAGGCATTCATCTATGCGAGGCAAAGGGGTAGAGTTGCGAATAGTGACCTTGTTCAGAGCGCGGTAGTCAATGCACATTCGCATTTCACCATTTTTCTTCTTGACGAATAATACCGGAGCACCCCATGGTGACGACGATGGTCGAATGAGGCCCAGAGATTGCAATTCGGTCAGTTGACGCTGCAATTCATCAAGTTCAGCTGGACTCATACGAAAAGGAGGTCTGTTGATGGGATTGACACCTTCAGGAACGTTGATCACATGTGAGAAATTTTGTCTGTTGGGTGGTAGGCCAGGTAATTTGTCTTGAAAAACCGTTGGAAAATCCTTCATCAGTTGATCTGTCCATACCACATTCTCTTGAGTAATTCCAGTACTTGCGCCATCCTTCTCTCCTTGATCCATCATGTACAAGAAACATGCATTTGTGCCTTCCTCCTTCAACATTTTCTCTGCTTGAAGATGAGATACCAAGTAATTTAATTCAGGCGGTTGTTGAGTTGGTGTGCTTGACACACAGGAAGACGACGTGGGTGAGATAGTGGTTTTACCAGGACCACAACAAGACAAGGTCCACGTATCATCAAACCAATCTGCAACAGGTTTGTGTTCCTTGAGCCAGGATCTACCAAGAATGACATCGAACTTTGTATCAAAGACGAATGCTGACATTGGGCTTGTATGACCTTGCAAATTCAAATCGTAGACAATCTTTTCATTAATAGGAGATACATTGCCACCTGCAGTTTCAACCTCTCTTCCATGGATCACGCTACGATGGCCTTCAATCATGTTTGCAATTCTACCTGAGATGTAGTTTTCACTAGCACCATTGTCAATTAGGCACTTGACTTTGACTACACCCAGAGAATGTTTGAGTCTGACGGTTGCTCCATACAAAGGTAGAGTTGAGGTATTTGCTGCATTCAATAAATTTGTCAGGTACACAGAGTCAGTGGTGAGGTCAATGGTGGTTGACGTATCCAAGTCTTGAATGATAGGAGACAATTCCACAGGACGACGAGTATTTGAGTTCGCAACGACAGGGTTTAAATTCACCACTGGATTGTTGTCTGGCACAGGTACAGAGACATTATCCGGGGTAGTAACAGGCACAGAAACCAAAGCAGGAGAAGACGCAACAGAGGAATCCATCATGGCAATGACTTGATTCAATTCATCCATCTGTGCGTTTCTTTTCTCAACCGCAATTTTATCACACAGGGACAACAGGTAAGAGGAACCGCTAGCTTTATTACTACTTTGACATTGGTTGCAATCACAACCATGGTTATCCTCTTCTCTGTATTCAACATCCAAAATACAGTTCAAAACACCAACATTCTTGAAAAGCTTGCGTCTAGTGTCCAGATCCAACTTGTCAAATGCATGCATAATTTCAGTGGCACGGGAGAGGCAATTCTTGGTGGTATGTCCAACTTTCTTGCAGTGAAAACATGTGAGGCTGGAATCATACCTATTACGGCCGCGATTATTGTTGTTTCTCCTGTTGTTATTTCTGTTTCTGTTGTTGTTGTTGCTGTAGCTGTTACTGTTGTTGTCGTTGTTACGATGCATGATGGCATCTAGGTCCATAGGCTGTACATCACCGTTGTTGTTATTGTATCTAGTGTTTGTCTGAACACCAGCACTGATCTCCGGATGGTGGGCGAATTCATGAGCCAGAGCATCAGAGAACAGCTTCTCCAACGTACGTGATTCAATAGGCATGGCGCGAATTTTGGCAATCAATTCCTTGTCCTTTAAACCTCTCATGAAACGATCACATTGCTCACGTTCACTAATATCCTTGATGGGAATGACAGCATCCATAAAACGATCCACATAATCCCGAATTGAACTGGTTTGGCGAATGGTGACCAAAACATCACGGGCCAAATCTTGATCGTTGGTGGGACGGAAATTGCTAATCAAAATGTCCTTCAGCTCCATCCACGTTGTAGGTGTGGTAAGATTACTGTCGGGATCTTCATAATGGGCAACAATAGTGGCAGCACGTCCAGATAGCAAAGAAGAGGCAAAATTGTAGGTGCGTTCTTCATTCCAGCTGTTGTGCAGCTTTTGTTTGTCAATCAAACGAATCCAGGCATCAATTTCACTTGCATTGCGAGTGCCACTGTATGTAGGTGGTGTTGGCAACTTGACAGCAGGTGCTTGATTTTGTGCCTGAATGAAGGCAGTCATCATGCTGGTGAGCATGTGTTGGTTTTGTTCCATGAATTGAACATAGTTGGGTGGTATTTGTGGTTGTTGATTGTCTTCAGCCATGTTGTTTTAATAAAATGTGGTGAGAGAGACCAGAGAGAGTGTTGACTCGAGATTTGTGTGTTTGTTTTGATAGTTGGATTATTATTTGGGATCTCCGAGTTCGTGGAATAGGAATCAACAGCGAACGAGATGGGGTAGGTAGTGTTCACAGAGAGGAACTATGAACAACTGTAGTAAAGAGGGTTGACTATTATGATTCAGTAAATGCAAAGATCTAATATAGATGTTTCGATCTTTCCCTTTAATGAATACTTAGCCGGCGTGCCTTGATGATCGACTTTTGTTTACTATCTGTTATAGGCGACAAATAGAAAAAAAGGATTTAAAAAATAACAGAAGTTGCTACCAATTGTCAGATGCTAATACGTAGAGATAGTATATGCAATCTGAGATCTGATCGAGATATAAATGGAAGTAGATATAGAGAGTGTGCAGGAAGATGTTATAGCCTTTTAGTTGAATGGATAAAAAGGTGCTTTATTAATATTAGATTTGAACATTGATTTTATCCAATATAGTTTGTGTAATGTTGTGCGCTATCCAGGTTAATCGCTGTTTAATGTTCCTGGTAGCTGGCGCTCTAGGTTTAAACCTGCGCTTCTTATTCTTGTTTGTGTTTAGTCTGTCAATGATATCCTGCAGATCTAAATCACTGTCAGAATACCCTTCAACCCTGACAATTTGATACATGTGTATGTTTTTGTTGGTTACTTAGCTGTATTTCGATTTTCTAAAAAGGCAATATACCGTATATGGGTAAGGCGCTAGGTGGTGGATTCAAGGTATAATTCTCTAACTTGTCTACTATGTCCTACTTGAAGGGTTACTCCTCGTTGGTGCGGTGTTCTGGTGCATTGACACACTTATATAATTGTTGTAAAACTGTATGTCATCTCTTGATGGTGCGTTGATACTGTTATTCTAGTCGATGTGGTCTCTATTTGGTGTATTGCTAATCAATGTTGGTGCTTACTCAATTGGTGTCGCTTCTATTTTGTTGTTGTTACATATTCGTTTAATCGTAGTGCTTCTTGTCAAGTTTAGCCGAAAATCTAATCAATATTTGGAGCCGATAATGTTGAATCGACGAATTAGTCAGGGATCTAAATGAGATTGCGCGCTAATAGCCAAGTATTACTATTTTGAAATGTGGATTTGACTCTGGACTTTGACTCAGAATAGATGCAAACCAATTGATGTCGAATCGATGCAAGATTCAAGTGGAATTACAACAATGGAATTGGGGTGTTACTATTTTAAACAATGGGATCGACTCAAGAACGCGGGTACATGAAATTGACATTAAATTGAAAGCAATCCAATTTGGGGTTACATTTGATCAGGGCACTGACATTCGGATCTGAATTGAGTCTGACAGGAGAATAACTATAGAACAATAGCATATATAAATAGTATTTTGAATTGCATCTTAATAAACATTATCCATTTTTTTCTTCTTATTCTAATCTGGAGTGTTATATCAAATGTCATAGCAAGGTCTTACACTAAAGGTTTTAGGCTATTCTTAGGTCCTTTGGGTAAATCATGCTAATCATGATTTACAAATCAATTGTTGGGTAGATAGTATACCTATTTGTATTATAGTTCATCATCATGCTGTAAACCCTAGCATAATGAAAAGTATATAAATGCATCCTTGGGATACATTCTCAATAAAAGTGTAATTCTTTGGCAGATTCAATTTTACATTGTATTTTGACATAACATGGAGTTTAGTTACTAGTGCCAATCTAGTACGAACAAACCTAAAGAACCCTTAAATTCATCTCTCATAATTATTGGGATAGTTTTTACAGTCTTCCTTTCCACACAACAATACTTATATCTTGATTACCAACTACCAAGGTAATCATTATAGAGAGCTTGATATTTATCATATTTACAGCACCTGCAAAAACTATATATTTACAAATATATTATGTCTCGTCACGTGGTGATTATTGCATTCTGCCTCGTTTTCTGCTGCTTCCTTTACCATGTCTGTCAAAAATGGATAAGTGAAGCAAAGCCTGAATACCGGTGAAAAGTTTGTAATTCTCGTACCTTTGAGTCATATTCTCAGAGGCCTTTCAGTGGTAAGAACTAACTCTGCTTCTCCCATTTTAACAGTAGCTCTAACAACGTACAATACATAGTAGTAGTAGTTCTGTGAATGTTTACAGTATCAGACGTTCATTAGTTGTTTAACCAAATGATAGTAGTGTGAAATCCGTATGTAAACTTTCTTTGAAGAGTTGCCGCGATTTTTTTTTTTTTTTAGTAATTATAATATTCTAAACATCAATTTCAAAGTTTGTGATCTGAGGAAGGTATGCGCATGCACTCAGTTCTAGCATGTGGACATCATCAAAGACGTTTTTACCATCATAGCCCCCCAAGACGTACAATCTAGAATCATAAAGCACAGTTGTGTGATAGCCTCGAGGATTAGGTGCGGCACCATACACTTTTCTAGCTTCCCAGCTCATTGTCACTACATTTAAAAGGGAGCAGTATTAGAAGGTGGACCTCTTTGGCTCCATTTCAGTTATACGTTACCCAAATTAAACAACAACACGTCCTGCGAATAACGTCTACCATCATGGCCACCGATAACAAATACATAAGACCCAACTTGTGTGGATGTATGAGCTAGCCTTGGAATCTTGCGATCCAGATCAATTTGACTCCATCTCTTCTTGACTAAATCCAATACATGCACATCTTCAAAACAATCATGTCCATCACTTCCACCAAATACAACCAATTTATCCTTAACCAAATTGCTGGTATGATAGCCTCTTGCGGGCGGTGGAGATCCAGATGTCTGTAACTTTTCCCAGCGCAAGACTTCAGCATGAGGGTTCGATATATCCAGCATGTGTACATCATCCAAGGCACGAGCACCATCGCCACCACCAATGACAATGATTTTGTCTTCCCACAAGCAGGTTGAATGTGCTCTTCGCTTGGATGGCCGTGTATCTGCTTCGATGTTGGGCTTTGACCAAACTAATGTTTCCACATCCAATACGTAAATATCTTGGAAATAATCAGGTCCATTGCCGCCACCAAAGATGAACAGCTGATGTGATCTTCTACCTGATCCCAGATCTCTTTCTACTACAGTACACGAATGAGCTCGACAAGGAGGCGGACCTTGTTGACTGGTTGTGCGTGGTTTTGACCATGTCATGGTATCTATTATCGATCCAAAGCTCCATTAGCTGCACGTTTCTCATCCCAATCCTCCAAAAAGAAATACCTGCCCATATCAAGAATATAAAGGGTATTAAAACAAAGTGATGTATCACAACCACCAAACACATAAAGTTTCTCTCCAATCAGATTTGCAGTGTGAGCACGAAGTGGACGTGATGGGCCACGACCGTAAGTGAGTGTACGAGACCAATACATACCAGCAGCGGGGGCAGGAGCTGCGACAGCATTTGTTGTGCTAAGCTCAATAGCAGCAGCTAAGTGATCAGGCGTTTTGTTGTTGGTACTTGGGTTGGTACTGTGTTTGGAATGCGAATGTGATTTCGTGGTGGTACTGGAGGAGGACGAATACGAAGTGGTGGGATGTCTATGCTTGGATTTGTTCCGAGATGGGCGATGTTGCATGCGATGAGCAGATTCTTCTAACTGCTGCTGCAATTGGTACGTGGTCGTATCAATGGCTTTAGAACAGTGGGTCAATGATTCGAGTACTGTCGAGGCAAGAGCCAAAAAAAAAAAAAACTTACTTGATGTGGGAGAAACGGGGCCAATGTCGCTTGATCTCGTACTGCTATGCGATGATTTTATTAAATTAAGTTTCAAATCTCGGTGATTGTCATTCAGCATGGAAGTTGAAGTCATGGTATCAAGCACTTTTCCATTCTCAGGTGGCAAGGTAGGGGATTCAGGCCTCTGAAATGTGCTACATGTATAGAGACTAGGTTAGAGAAACAGTATTTGAAGATTAGAATATGGCTTTTACTTTATTTGCTTGTTATCATTCGACAAGGTGGAAGATGTTTGGCTTGTAGCTGGCGTAGAGAATGAGTTGGAGCGGGAATCATAGACTATCCTTGTTGGTTTCTTGGTTGCAGGAGAAGATGAAGTTGGCATCTTTTTTTCGTTAAAGGAAAAGAAGAAGAAAGAGAATGCAATCGGGAGTCAATAAAATGATATGATATTATATATATGGGTCATATAAATTAGATGGTTGTACAAAGGCATTTAAAAGGGGTAAATAGGCTCATGATGATAACCAACGTTTGTACTCTTGTGCGAATACTTTATCTTGAAGACGGTTCATGTCGAATAATCCGAGAGACTCGCTCAATTTGACAGCCAGTACATGTCGGCACTAGTGTCAATTGATTATTCCTAATGGCTAACAATCAAATCCAACAACACCTTACCATGATTATGTCATTCTTGAGAACCACATCTTGTATGAACTTGTCGCAATTGCAATGTCTCGGATTTATCATACATGTATTAATGATTTCCTGTGCTGCTGGATCTTCTAATTCTGAAATGCATTCATTGGAAACTCGATAAAGGGTTCTCCCTGAATCAGATTGAACCTTGGTAACTAGCACCCCCTATTAGCACGTTTTCTCGATTCATGTGTAAGTGTGATGCCAACCCTGTTTTCCCTCTGTCAATTGCAATGATTCCAATAGCGTCTTGTCGAATATGGAGTATAGTCTGAGTGTTGTTTCCTTAGTCACTAAAGACATTGAATGCGTTTAGTCATGTTTTTCATGTATATAAATTAAACTCTCTTTTGATTACATGTGCCTTCTTCTTCCAGTCGTTTAAATATCAAGTCTATTAATTCATCTGAATAATGCAGCATTTCTTGAGCAAATAAAAGAAAAAGCTCCTTTCTGAGGCTTCTTGAAGGAATGATGGATGAGCATATACAACACACATATATATATATATATATATACACACACTGCGCGGCAGTCACTGGTTGCAAAGACCAGTGCCTAATTCGAGAAAGCAATGACTTCATTGTGCTTTGCATTTTGTCAATCCATTCATACAGTTTTGTCTCTCTCAAATACAAATAACAAAATGGGAAACGGACACAGCCAAGAGAGATCAAAAGAGGCAGAGTTATGGTCTCACTGGAACCCTGATGAAAAGGAGCAACTCAAGAAGTTTTACGAGAAAGGTGAACCTACATCAACATTGCCAGCTTACTATGAAAAGGATCTCCTTGCTAGCATTGCTGCAACTCTGATTCCGTCCGAGAAGAACCTCGCCAACTACCTAACAGCAGTACATTCTATCATAAAGACCAAGGAACCAAGCCCAATGTATTATGTATTCCAACAGTGCGTCAAAGATCAAGCAGTGTCATTGCAAGATTTTGTTACATTGGTAGTGAAATCGGCCATCCCGCTTTGGTTTCAAGATGGTAGCTCATATCAGTGGACATCCACATCTGGACAGGACCATACACCTCTAGTTGACTACTTTATTCACTATGCTGAAGAAGAAGCCAATAAACAAAAGGAAGCCATGGCTTGGTTAGCAGCAGATGACGATAGTAAGCAACAAAACAAGGAGGAGCAGCAAGCATCCAAATGGCAGGAAAAGGCAGCTTTATCACCATCTCAGATTTCAGAAGCCGAGTTCTCGCACTGGATCCAACATACACCTGGCGTACGAGGATTGTTTCAATTGGCAGTTGAACATGTCTTACTAGAGGAACCCACGAGCACTAACAACTTGCATACCAGACGTCTTCATCACTTGGCATCGCCACAGATTCAGCAGCACAACAAGGAAACTCGCAGATTATTGGGCAAAGACAAGTTTTCCAATTTAATGACACCGTATGATTACTATATGCTGTCATTATCGTTGCCTGGCAATACCTTATCTTGGTCAGACTATGAGCAGACACAGCGTAAAGTGACTCAAGACGTGCAGCATGACATGGTGTTTTCTTCCAAACGAGATGGATCCAGTTGGCAAAACTTTGTCAGTAAAATGGTGGGACAAGGAGCCACATTGGTGGTGATTCAAGCCAAAGATGGAAGTGTGTTTGGCGGTTACGCTGATGAACATTGGGAATACTGCAATACACACTGGTATGGCAATTCAAGCAACTTTTTGTTCCGTATCAGAGATAGCTATGGCCGTTGGGAGGCTAGTTCTGGTAGTAATGACCATTATCAGTACTTGTGTTGGGGTAAGAAGAGTCTGCCAAACGGTTTCGGGATGGGCGGACAGTTTGATTATGCAGGTCTGTGGATTGATTCTGATTTTATTCATGGACATTCAAGAGCTGGACCCTTGTGTACGACTTATTCAAGCCCACAACTGAGCACGCATGATACATTCATTATAGACCAAGTAGAAGGTAACATTTCATACAAGAGTGGATCCGTTCAAATAATTAACTAATGTGGGTTTATTTATAGTTTGGTTAGTCAGGCCACTTGTGAAAGACGAAGATCAAGATCAAGCAGGTGATGGCGGTGGTGTGTTGAGCCATGCTGAAGACATGGAGTTTATGGAGATGGCGGGCAAGAAAATGTACTCGAAAGACCTTGGCCCTGAGCCCACAGAGGACGACGACGATGAGAGCGATAAAGATGTCTAATAAAATCACTCACTTTAAGCCCGTTCTGTTACTATTTTTACCTATTGAAAAACTGGTGTGATGTTTTCTATTTTCATTTTACAGCAATTAAATAGAAACTCAATTTCTATTGTTTCCCTTTATTCTTCTCTTCTCCTTGTCTCCATATCTCTCTCTCTCTCTCTCTCTCTCTCTCTCTCTCTTCCACTCAACATGTCAAACGCACTAGATTATCTTGTCGTATACGGTGATTCCTATTCAGGTAAGCAGACAGCGTCTTGATAGCAGCAGAGGCATTTCTGATACTCGACCTATAGATGTCCATCAGGGATCCAAAAGAACAAACGGCCCTCTCTGGAGTGAACAGCTTGCCAGCATATGGAACACACAACTTGTATCTTATGCAAAGCCAGGAGCCACATTTTGTCAAAACGATAAGCGCAACTCGAGCTATTTGAAGCAGCAAGTAGAACAAGACACCACCTTACAAGAAGCTGAGAAATCCAGTGTTCATGCTATATTTCTCGGCGTTACTGATCTAGTAGAGACACAGGGGGAGGCAAAGAACATCAAGCAATGGGTGCAATGTATAAAAGATCAAGTGGTAAGTATACCTCTTTGAAAATGATGTTCAGTGATGGTAGTAACATATGCTGATGTGTGTTTCACCAGATGTACCTGAATGCAAACAACCCAAATACGCGCATCCTTATCATGGGCGTACCTGCCTTGGAATTCTCACCTTATGCCATGACACACAAATCAGCAACCACCCATCTCAAGCAAAACATCATTGATTTCAACGTTGCATTGGAGGAGGAAGTTCTAGAGTGGCGCAATGAGGCTGCTTCAGAGCAGATTGAGTTTTTTGACACTTATCTGGTATTTAGCGATCTGCTGGGCGATCCTTCTGTAGCCAGCATTGACAATGTAGATGATGCTTATTGGGACAAATGCCAAGGCAAATGCACACAAGACATGAACAGCTATCTTTGGTGGGATAGCATCCATGTGACAGGATCTGGGCACAAAGCCATCTCCAACACCATCCAGTCCAAGGAATTCTTCAACCTCAAATCAGCACTGGATATAGAACCACAGCCCTCGTCTACTCTGGATGATTTCACTGGATTGTCTGCCAATTACACGCGATGGCTCTCTTGGCTGATCCTGTTGGCCATTGTAGGCATGGTGTTGTACATGTTTAGACACAACAGAGCCTTTGTGTCTCTTAAAAAGACCATTCAGACAAAAGCAGCCAAAATTTACCCTTCTTTAACGCCTCGAAACAACCACGACTACACACTTGTATAAAACTACATTCATCCCCCCCATTTCCCCCTTTCAAAAAACTTTATGCTCGCCCATTTACAAATTATTGCTATATAAAGATACTTGAAAACGAAAAGAAGTTGCCTTGTTTTCTACAAATATGTCAAAGGATGCACTGTCCTGGTTGTGCTGGAGGGGCTCTTACAGAGGACATCAGCATCCAGAGCGCCACGGTATCAAAACGGAGAGCTCATGATAGTTGACAATGCCAATGACATTGGCAGTGGGTGGTACATTTCTGAAATCTCGCTCTAGAGTCGAGAAAATGCTCAAATAAAAATAAAAATAGCATGCAGATCGTCGACCTAAACTTACATCGATTCACAGGCAAATGTTGATCATGGTGAGCTTAGCAAAATTTAATCAATCAAGTGTAGAAATATACTGCACTGCTTTATGCTGTGCTGTTATCACAGCTCTGTATAAAAAGGCTAGTTTGCCTACTTTTATTTGCCCTTTCTCTCTTTCCATCTCATTTCAATTCCATCCTCCAGCTTCCCTAAATCACTGTACATTTCTCTCCTTGATTTGCCGCACCCTCTTTCATTCAATAGAACGTTACATTCTATGGACGATTACTAGACAAAGACAACCGCCATCACCATCACCACATTAGAATCTCCTCTTCATGAAGCCATGAGCTCGTCCAAATCATTGCCTAGCAGTTTTAAACAGAATAAAAGACCTATTTTCTATAACAATAGTACGATATCCCGAGTGACAATCGAAGGTGGTAGCCATAGCAGCAGTAACAGCAGTGATCAGATTCAAACCGCTTACAAAGACATCTATTCCTCTTCATTCTCCTCCTCCAATGTCAAGATATCGTCTCCTCTTACAAAGCCAGCTTGGTTCCAGCATGAGGGAGATGTCACTGTCCATACCAACAGTAGTGGCACGACAAGCGATAAGAGCTGGATGACCCGTCGTTGGTCGACTGTATCTGGGTCCTTGATTGCTCGTAGAAAGAACAAGAAAACGACCGCATCTCGCTTATGGACCAGTCGACAAAAACGACGTACATTTCCTCCTTCTACTGACATATTAAAACGAGAACGAAAGAAGTTTGCACTACCACCTGCTGTACCACCTATCAACAAGAAGCATCATCGCCAAAGCCTACAAGATATTTTGACCACGTTTTACAATGTAGCCAACAGCGGCAGTGGCGGCGGATTGGGTGGTGGCATGGATGGCAATGAGTCAGCGTCGACACCTACCACCACAAGCTCGTCATCCATGTCAAAAAGACTAGGCAGGATTTTGAAAAAAAGGGGTAAACAGCCGTACAATAACAAGCACAAGAAGAAGCCAATGCTCACCATCAACACCCATACAAAATACACTGAGGATGAATTGAAAGCAGCCATGATGTCCATGTTCCAACCGCCAGCGACTATTTCGAGCAAATCATCCACACCTTCCTCTCCTCTACGATTTCCAACGCCACCCAAGCGATTCTCGGCTTATTATATCGATAGCCAAGGTAAATCTGGCAAGGTGGATTACAAACACAAGATGACATTATCGCACCATGTCCTGCAATTCATACAGCATGGCATTTTTTCACCACATGCGCCACCATCTGATCCATTACCACCGCCGTCTAGCCTGGAAAAGGGATACTACAAGGCGTACAATAGACAGCTCTTGCTGAACACGAGCTTGTTTTTCTTTGGGTTCATCTTCTTTCCTTGCTGGTGGGTAGGTGCATGGCTGTATTACAAGAGGCAACGATCTGGTTCAATGACAACAGATGGCATGGCGGAAGATGTCTTTTATGAGCATGATTTGTTTTCGATTCGCACCATCGTCTACTTGAATACTGTATTCAGTTGTCTCAGTTTTGTACTTGTAGCTGTTGTTGTAGCACTGGTGATTTGGCTGGTAAAATCATAGAAGAATCTCTGTTGTAAAACTATAAAAATTGTACCAATAATACCCCTTTGGATCTGCTGTTTGTTTTTGTTCCATCTCATGCACATGAATGGAAAATCATTGTTGTCATAGCAACGCCAGATCGATTCTGGCAAGTAAGCTGGGTGCAGCGCACTGCTTGGACTATCCAGAGTGTACCGACGCTATAGCTTACAAACCACATCATATGGGTCTGCTGTGATATATATAAACATCAGAATGGGTCTGATACTGTGAAACAGTGGTAACAATTACGTCCATGATTTGTCAGTACGTCATTTGAATTGCATGAACTATCCTAGTGAGCTTAATATCTTTGATTGGTAAAGTTCCTATATAAAACATGTCAGAATGACGATTTACGGTTTACATGCGAAAAGGCTTATAAAAGCAGCTCGCCACGCCGAGGTGCTCTTTTCGACATAAACTACTCTTATACACACACTCACGAAATGAACCCTTTACAAGAACATTCTGCTCAAACAGGTATCCATCCTAACACAACCAACGACTTGGATCAATCCAGCGGCATGAACGCACAGTCTCGTAATGGAGGCGTTTGGATGAAGAAGCCTGAAGCCATGGCTGCTGGTACTACTGCTACTACTACTACTGCTGGTTTGGACGACTTGCATCAACAAAGAGACACCAGTTCAGCTGTTTCATCCACTCCATCTGAATATGGTTCTGACGACACAAGCCACCGTTCACCACATGCCAACCAAAGCAGCAGCGAGCGCCCTGTTGCCGATAGAGATGCATTCATTCAAGCAGATCAGAGTCAATGGCAAAATAAAATGAGCCCAGCTGAGCGAGCAAAGCAGTTAGCTGCTGAAATGAATCAAAATATTGATCGCAGAAGAACATCTACTGGCAGCGTTGGTGACAAGATTCTCAAGATTGGTGGCAAGAAAGAGTATAAGCTCGACTAAACTGAAATTTTGCCTCGTTTACCCCTCCTTTACTCTTCTAATCCTTAATTCTAATGCAATAAAACACAACTTGCCTTTATGGCTATTCCACGTGATTGGATGGATGGATGTCTTGAAAGTTTTAATGTCTGTGTTGTAAATTTACATTAACAGCTTTCTTTCTCCTATATATTATGAATCGACTCGACTTGCCTGAATACGCAGAAGATGCTGCTATATTACGCTTCTATCATATAGATTCGCTTGAGCCTGATGTGTGGGTGGATGATGAAGAAGGAGACGATCATAAGCATTCACATGAAAGGGAATCAAGCATTCAGCAGTTTCAACATCCAGAACAGGACGATCCTTTGAATACAGCTTCGTTGCGTCCATCAGAGAGCGATATCGACTTGCAAGTGATTGATGATAGTGATCCTCTGGGCGTGTATTCTTCTATTTTTCCAGAGTAAGCCGCGTGCAGGCAAAGTACAGATTTGGGATGTCCTATTGATAACATCATTCTTTAGTGATATGTCTAGAAATACAAACATCACACAACTCAAAGAGAGTAAAGGACTAAACTACAAGTGGTATGGTGACAGACACTAACTGATGCTTATAGAGACATCCATGATGATTACCAACAAAAAGTTCCAACCTCGCCAGTTCTTGCTTCAGGTCCATAAGCACACTGCATACAACGATTTGGTCGCTGGCGAGGAACGTCTAAGAAAAGATGTTGACCAAAGAGCAGAGGCCCTAAAGAATCTCGTGCACCAAAACTTTGACAGATTCGTCAGCGCCAAAAACACTATTGATCATGTGTATGAAGAGATGAAATCCAAGCAACTAAATCAGCAACAAGATTATGGCACTATTGATATTCAAAGATCGTTGGACGGTATGTTGAAAGTCTAGGCTCAACGCACACACACAATTAACTAGATCAACAGCTGCCAATACTCGTGCTGAACAAATCTACGGTCCTGTGGTGGAGAGACGTCAACGAGTAGAGAAGTTGAAGAGCACTTTGTACATTCTACAGCGATACCGATTCCTGTTTAATCTACCGAGCAGTCTACTGGAGTCCATCAAGCAGGTAAAGCAGGAGCGAATGCTGCTCGACATGTCTTGTACTCATATGTCACTAGACGAAATACGAAGCTGCTATTCGAGACTACAAAAAGGGAAAATACCTGTATCAAGTACTCAAAGGCGATTTAGACTCGACAGACAGATCCACAGGCTTATCCGACATGGAAAAGGACACTGGCATCACAGACCTGCATCGCAAAGTGTTTGACAAGGTGTGGACAGAAGTAAGCAAGATTGTGATTGAACTACAAAATGTCTTGTTGAGAATGCTGGCCGACCCTTGGCGAAGTATGGACGATCAAGAAAAGACCATCAAGTGAGTTTCTGCGTGTTTATATGCATGTAGCATATGGCTGACTTGAATGCAGTTTCTTGTTTGATTTGGATACAACAGAAGATCCAGCTTGGTTTTATTTGGACAGCCAATATCAATGGATCATGGGACTGATGAAGGAGACTTACGACACCAGTGTTCGAAAGATCAATCGATTGAAAGCAGAGGACGGCGATACAGAAGAATCAGCCGTCAAGCGTAGTTTGGCATTGAAGATGGCCATTGAGCACATCTCGACCAAATTGGCTGAACTCAACATCGAATCCTCCTCAGAGCTGCAGATTTGGCAGGCCATCTCTGAGCTGGTCAAATCGCAGTCTTCCCTCTTATTACGCTGCTTGCCTGATTTCTGGAGACTGTCTACAGCCTTCATTGAGGGCAAATTTGCCAACAAGGCAGCAGCAGTGTCTTTTGCTGGTCCCATGGGCGTTGCCATGGACTCACCTTCCTCTCGACGAAGACGCCATGGCATGGACATGGGCAAAGTGGAGCAATGTCAGCGTATGACACGAGACATCATTGGCAGATATGCAACACTGATCTCCGAGTACTTTTCACTGCATCAAAGACAACTGCAAACCAAGCAAACCATGGACGGCGACAAATACGTGATGCCCTCCTTTGTGCCCATCAATGCCAACTCCATTTACACTTGCGAGTACCTGACACTGATTATTGGTGACTTAGCAAACTGCGTCAACAATATCAATACCATCAATTTAGCAGGTGAAGCGTTCTCGGGGCTAACAGATCTCATGGAAAAAGCCAGATCCAAGTTCATTGATGTGCTCTGCAAGTGCTGGGAAAGAGATGCAAAGACGTTTTTCATGCTGGAGGAATGGATCCTGGACCCTCAAAACCCTCAATTCACCACCCTGTTGAAGCGTTACTATGACTACCACAAGTTTTGTGCCAGAACAGCGCACAAGATCTGCAGTCTGGCTGCTGTCAATGCCGATATCAACGAGCCTCAAGAGCGCATCATACCACCCAGTTATATCGAGAAAGTGCGAGGATCCTTTTTGGAGTCGACATATACCTTTTTGGACGGATTGGTCCAACTGGCATTTATGGATTACACACCACTGAATGAAAAGGACGAGTTGCTGCTGGCCAAGAAGAGAGAAAAGATTGATGTGCATTCGATGGATGTGCGCATCTTGCTGACAGTCAGTAATCTAGACCACATGCGATGCAATGTCATGCGAAAGTTGATTGATTTGTTTGAGGATGCTTACCATGTCAAGATGGAGGAAGATTTGCGCGTAAGTTGTGGCTCTAGTATTATATGAAGCTATGTACTGATGCAATACACAGACCCTGATTGACGTGGTGGATCAGCTGGATGAAATCTTGTTTGGCGACTACATTAAACGTAAATCCCAAATGATTCGAGACATTATTCGACAAGGTATCCTTATGAGTGGTATTGACTGGTCCAGTATTCCCAAGCCGCAAGAAGTGCACCCATTTGTCTATGAAGCTCTGATTACCTTGGTCATGGTGCACTCACAAATCAGCAGTGTCACTAAGCAATTGGTGTCTCGCGCACTCTCCAGGCTCCTGGAGGCCATGGCCAATGACTGTTTGGATAGCTTTAGACAAGTAGAACGCTTTGGCATGGGAGGTATGCTTCAAGCGACACTGGAAATTGAATTCATGCATCAGACACTATCACAATACGTCACACCTGCTGCATCAGATACCCTTCAATCCATTTATCAAACCATCGAACAAGCATATGATCCTCAGCAACAACAATCCAGCAACCTGCAGTCCGAATTGAGTCATGTCAAGGAATTGCTGGTGTTCAGTCGAAAAAGCACTGTGGTTCAATTCTTGTGTTTCAAGCAGAACAAGGATCGCAGCAAAAAATCCACTGCTTCAGCTAAATAGGCATATTTTGTTTAATTAAATGATACAGTTTATTATGTTTAATATACAAGGTTTATATGAAAAAGCAAAATTAAGATGGGGGGAGGGAGGGAGAGGGGCATAAATGGCATATGTTTTAGTGAGCATTCAACGACTGTTGACGCACAAGATCATAGTAGACGCCTCTCATATTCAAAAGCTCCCAATGCGTGCCTTGTTCAACGACACGACCACTCTTGACGACGCAAATGAGATCAGCATTCTGAATTGTAGACAGACGGTGGGCAATAGTGATCGTGGTACGGCCTCCTTCTTCAATAATGTTGTCAATGGCACCTTGCACGAGTTTCTCGCTCTCACTGTCTAATGCTGATGTGGCTTCGTCCAACAAAAGCACCTTGGGCTTACGAATCAATGCACGAGCAATAGCAACTCTTTGCTTCTGACCACCAGAGAGCTGACTAGCCTTATCACCAACTCTAGTTGAATACCCGTCTGGCAAGGAAGCAATGAAATCATGAATATTGGCAGCACGACAGGCAGCTTCCACTTCTTCTTGGGTCGCCTCTTTGGATTCATCCACACCAAACTTGATATTGTCCAGAATACTCATGTCAAACAAGATGGGCTCCTGAGATACCAACGCCATGTGGCTACGAAGATTGTGGAGGGTGTAGTTTTTGACATCAGTGTCATCCAAGCGAACTGTGCCAGTAGCAGCATCGTACCATCGTTGCAACAAGCCAATAGTAGTTGATTTACCACAACCACTTGGACCAACAATCGCGATACTTTGACCAGCTTTACCATGAAGACTGAAATGGCCGCTAAAGACAGACACATCAGGACGAGCAGGATAGCGGAAACTGATATCTTGACAGTCGATATCACCTCTGATTTGAGCACGGCTGGGTTCAATGCCTTCCAGCTGACCATCAATCAAAGGCTGGCGCTCCAGGATCTCGAAAGCAGCAATAGACGAATATTTGGCCTTGGCAAAGGTAGTTGCAAAGACAGACGCACGGCCTACGCCTTGAGCTGTGATCATGATGGTCATCATACAAGTGAACATTCTGTCAAAGGTGAGGCCGTGATGCCACATCAGTTGGATACCAGCAAAGAAGGCAACAGCGTTGGCGTAGTAAGAGATACCTTGTTGAAACGCAAAACCAATAGAGGAACTGGCCGCTTTACGTTTAGCAAGCTGATGGGGATGTTCAGTGGCATTATAATATTTGGTTTCGAAATAGGTTTGTTTGTTGAGGCCAGCGACAGTGCGAATCTCTTTGATGGCTTCACCGGCTACTTCACCGCTTTGCTCATTAGCAGCCTTGGTTTGATCTTCATAGCCGTTTTCAATCTTGGACTGGTAGTAATTGGCAAACGCAATGAAGGGAGCCATGGTAAGAATAATCAGAGTCAACATCCAGCTTTGCGTAAATGCAATGACAAGACCAGTAATGGCAGTAACAACAATTTGAGTGACATCGCCAGATACCTTGGTAATCAGTTCATTGACGTTCTTGGCATCCACAGCTAGTTTGGCAGTGAGAGCACCCAGACTGTTCTCTTCTCGGTCAAAGAAGCCCACTTCTTGACGCATGTAAGCTCGAAAGACAGCAGCACGAAGACGTTTGGTGTAGCGTTCACCTGCAATTTCAAAAGACACAATTTGTCCACTCATGCCCAAGAAAGCAGCAATGCCGATGACGATGAATAAGAACGAGTAGAGGTTGGTGCCCTCCAAGGGCCCAGGAGGAGGGGCGTTTTTGTCTACCAGTTTGCTAATAACTTGAGCAAAGATGAGGCCAAAGGTAGGGAAGATGGCGCCCGAGACAATAGCACCCAGCACACCGAGCACCAGCAAATGCCATTCAGGGCGCATTTGCTCCAAGACTTTACCAAGAGGAGCTTTCTTTTGCATAGTTTCCTTGCGCTGATTTTTTTCCTTACGGCGTTTGAGTTCATACGCGTCCACAGAAGCACGACTGGTGGTCTTGAACAGGTTGACTGTAGTGACATCCTTTTCATTGAGCAAGACATCTTCCACACGCTGCTTTTCAGCAATGAGTTCCAACTGTTCCCGCTTCAGTAACTCGTCTGAGTCAGGCTCTTCTACAGCACTGCCAATTTGTTTGGTGGCAATTTCTTGCTTTCGTACCAGTTCAGCGTAAACACCATCCAGGGCTAAAAGATCATTGTGGCTTCCTTGCTCCACCAAGTTACCGGATTGCATGACGACAATGAGATCTGCGTTCTTGATGGTCGACAGACGATGAGCAATGACAATGGTAGTACGATCAGCAGAAGCAGCATCCAGTGCATTCTGTACAAGACGTTCAGATTGTGTGTCTAGAGCAGAGGTGGCCTTTGAATGTGATATGAGCAACAAGTTTCTGTAATAGGCTATATTTGAGCCTTACCTCATCTAGCAAGAGAATGGAAGGGTTCTTGAGAATAGCGCGCGCAATGGCAATTCTCTGCTTTTGACCGCCTGAAAGCATACCACCGTGTTCACCGACAAGCGTTTCATAACCATCAGGCAATTCAGAGATAAATGTGTGGCAGTTGGATTTCTTGCAGGCATCAACAATATCGTCGTTGGTCACTTCTTCAGTAACACCCATCAGCAGGTTTTGTTTGATGGACATGTTGAATAATACAGGCTCTTGACTATGGGGGCAAATGCACGTTGATACACTGCACGCCTTTACTATTAAATGATTCTCAACTCACCTCACCACACCAATCTGGCTACGAAGCCATGCCACGTTGTAATCCTTGACATCATGACCATCTACAAGAACAGAGCCCTCCGAAGCATCATAAAAGCGCTGTAAAAGTTGAATGCACGTAGATTTGCCAGACCCACTCGAACCAACAAAAGCTACGGTCAAGCCAGGTTGAATCTTGAGATTGAGGCCATTGAGGATGGTTGTGTCAGGACGAGTAGGGTAGTTGAATTTGACATTCTTGAATTCTATTTCACCCACAAAGTTTTTGGAAACCAGACCTGCTTTGGCATCAACATCAATGGGAGGTACACGATCAATGGTCCTGTATATCTTGAAAGCAGCGCCACAAGCGCTTGAGACGGCAGATAGGTTTTGTGGCATAAGCAAGAGTCCAGAAGCACCGATGATCATGGAGAAAAAGACGACCATCACATCTGCGCCCTCCATATGTCCTTCGCGTGTCAGTTTGCTGCCATACCAGAAAGACAGGCCGTATGTAGCAAAGAGGGTGAACCTACAAGGATGTTTAGTTTTTCCTACTCATCACTGATGTTCGCTTGAAATTTACATGAAACCTCCAAAACCAAAACCAAGGCAAAGGCCGCGCACAATACCGTGCTTCTTTGCTACTTCAAGCTTCTTTTCATACAGATGAGAGAATCTCGTTTGCAGCGAGAACGAGTATACAGTGCGAATACCAGAGAATACCTGCTCGACGACTGATCCAGCATCGGCATAGGAATCTTGGGCTCTTGTAGTGTATTTCGTGATAAAGTATCCCATTAAACCACCAGCAGCAGCCATGATAGGCACGGTAGCCAGAATGACAACTATTAGACATATATTGTGAGTATACTCCATAGACACACTCGACAGGTTGAACATCTTACCAGCTAATCTCCAGCCCTTGATGAACGCAACAATAAAACCGGTGATAAACTGACTGATGCACATGACCAAAAGACCAAATTTCTCACTGATACCTTTCGGAGAGTGAGTAACAATACGGCGAGTATAACAACTAGAATATGTTACCTTCTTGGATCAACTGAGTGTCAGTAGCCAATCTTGTAGTCAAAGAGCCTTCCTCTGCCTTATCAAACCAGCCCATGTCTTGACGAAGAATGGCATGTACATACATAGTTCGAATGCGACGCACCTGGAATTCACCAGACAGGACCCAGAAACAATGTGTTGTATAGGCAGCAATCAGGACACCAGTGCCCATGTACACAAAAGTCAATACCAACGGATGAGTGTCCCTCGCCAGTTTTTCGAAATCTTGGGTGGTGGCCATGGATGTGCCAATGTTGCTGAGGAATTGACCAAAGATGATGATGGATAGAGGCTGTATAGCACCAACAGCAGCAGACAGTAGGCAGGCAGCCAACACCATGGCTGCTTCCAAAGGTGTGGCAAATCGAAACAGTTTGTGAATAGGCACAGCAGGCTGCTTCTCCTTCTTTTCCTTTTTTTTCTTTTTGGATTTGTCTCCCGGATCAGAATCACTCGCTTTCTCTTCATGTTGTGTGGATATGGCAGCGATCTCTTGTTGTATCAGCTTCTTGTTGGTGTCCTCATCAAATGAAGAAGCAGGGGAATGGGACCCATTTTTTTTCTCTAATGTAGTAGTAGACATGATGTGTCAGATCAATAACAATGCAAGAAAAATAATGGGAAATGGCATTGTATTTATATGCGCACGGAAATCCGGCGCAGCGTAATCAGCAAGTGAAGTGAAGCACAAGAAAGGTAGAAATACGGCGATCCATCCCACCCTTTCACATTTCCTGATTTGATCTAGAAAACGCAAAATTTCGGCACCTTATCCCTGTCTACAAATGCACCGTATAGTTTTGACTCAAAATGCTTGAGCCATGTGACCCGTGTGCTTGTTTGTTTTATGCGTCATATTCTGCGTTTTCCTTGTCTACCGATGTGTGTATACATTATTGCTTGAATGCTTTACCATGATTCAAGGCGTGATATCATTTCTCTTGTCAGGTTCTACAAGAAAGAAAATACCAAGACATAGCACCGCTTGGCGCCAATCCTTCAAACAAACTACAGAGTATATACCTTTTTGAGTAATACTATCCGAAACTGGCAAGCTCATTGTGGCACCCTGCTGATCCTGTTGAATAGTAGCTTGAGATGATTCCTTTTGAAGAAGAGAATTGTTTACGTGTCTCTCCACCTTGAGTTAATGTCATTTTAGAGTTGACATGCATTTCATTTTGTGATCTGGGCTTCCACTACATGAAAAATTGAAATGCTACCCAAGATTCTACTTTTTGCAGGGATTGTTAGTGTACTTTGAGCATGGTAGCATCATCAACTCTGTTTCACTGTCTAATGTACCTTTCATTTCTTTAAAGCAACTAAAGGAATCAAAAGTTTTCAAATGATAGAAAGTGGCGATTTATAGTGTGTTTTGTGCCTGCTCTTATTATAGTCGATAGACAAGTCTGCTTTTCGCAATACACGTCGAACAGTGTATGTACTCGCACGATCAGGCCCAGATTCTGCTAGTATAGCCAAAGTAGCATATTTATCCCTATTTGCTTGGATAGCAAAAGTTTTTTCTATTCTTGCAGATAATGCTGGAGGTCGACCTACAAGATTAGCTGATATTGGCTAGGAATCTTTTTTATTGCGCTTGAAAAATCCATTGATGCCAGGCTTGGATCGCCCTGTTTTTTCCGATAATTTCAGCATTAGGCATGCCTCCGTTTATCAGACCACGAATGTAAGCTTTTTCACAGCAAGCTAGGTCTCTTTGCTTCATAAGAAAGACTTAAAGGTAAGGAATAATGGAGAAAGGTTTTCTTATTCTGTATCGCAGTTAATGCAAGCCGAAAGTATTGTGTAAGTACACATGGGCTCATTATTTCAAACGAGTTTCTATCCAAGCTTAAAAACCAGACGCCATTAGTGATTTTTTTTCCCTCAAAGAGCCTATCTGTGTCATAATTCTGAAATGATATGTATTGACTCTGTGCTTTTCAGTGCTGAACTAGGGATTTGGCAGCTTTAATCAGCACCCTAACCATGATTGTCATCATCAGAAAGGCATTTAGGTCAGCCAGCAGTAGCACCAACATCAGAATAGATTCAAGCTCAGAACATTTTTTCTGTTCAAGATTGGCCAAATTGTGTCTTTCTTCGACTTGATTGAACTGTTTTGAGAGATTCGACTATATAAATTGTGATGATAATCTGATTCTTCCTTAAGCTTCCTAAGAATACTTTTCATGGCGCATCTTATGGAGCTAATTATAATAACAGTTTGTAAAAACCTGATGAAATTTTGGTAAAATACGAAATGTGGTTTTTAGCCAAAATATCGAGATTTTGCATATGAAAGTCTCATAAAAATGGTTTCAGAGGTTGCTTTGGATCGAGAGAAACATTTTGATTTGATATCATAACATAATAAATGTTCAGTCCTTTTGCACTTTACAATCCTAATATGGAACCTGAGTTTCAAGGCATCTATCAGACCTGGCTCATATGAGAATAATGATTTTACAATCAATCAACAAAAACCACTATTATTTCTACCCTCTTTCCTCTGCTCAATGCTACCAACGTTTTCTTTGAACGACGGCTCGGAGCCTCAGAGATTTCACTACTTACTGCAGACATTTTATGCAACCCATGCATCGTCAATGTCCAGACTAACGTTATTAAATATAGAATGCAATAAAATATCATTAAGAACGATATAGAAGGCAATAAAATAGCATCATAAACGATAGTGCTATGACCTGCCACCTACTTTCTATACGCTTCAAAGGCATTTACTACTGTATTGCCTTATGAAAAGGGCATGAGTTTTCCAGCTGGCCCCACCAGCCAAAATTAATTCAAACCCAGAATTATAGTCTGTTCCAGATTGGACAAATTTTGATGATTCTGGACTCGATCGAGCTATTTTTGCAGATTCGACTAAGTGAAGTATGATAATCACCCCATGCTTCCTTAAGCTTTCCTGGAGTACTTTTCAAGGCGCTTCCAATGGTACTAAGTAAAATAGACGTTTTGAATACACTTATTAAATGATTTGTAAAAATATGAAAAGAGGTTTATGGCCAAAATGTCGAAATTTTACATACCAAAGTCCCACAAAGATGATTTCAGAGGTTGCTTTGGATTGATAGAAACATTTTGATTCAAGATATACCATAGTAAAAGTCTCCATTTTCAAGGTGAAAAGCGCGATCGTTTGATTTTCGATGAAAACCATGAGAGGTACCTCATGCTTTTTGGTCGAATTTGTTCATGTTTTTTTGATCCCCAAAAAGTCGAGCAAAAGTGTCAGAAAGTAACTGCCAGATGAGAGCAACCATTTGGGGCTATTCTGACGATCTAAAACGGCCTTGAACGCAAGAAAATGCAGCTCAAATGCACTCATATTTTGCTGTATTAGGGACACTAAGGACTAAAAAGTGGGAATACCAGTATGCTGCTTGCCCGTTATGAAGTAACTACGTGTATATGGATGTAGAACATCACATAAGAATCAGATCCACAGATAATATGAAGGGTTACTATGTGTAAGTAGAGGGTCAAAATGAAAGTAGCAGTATTTTGATAAAATACGCAAGAGCAATCAGTAGCACGAGCTGCCGCTGCGCAGGTTGGTTCTCTACCTTCGCTACGCTTCGGTGAGAACCATCCGAAGCATAAACACTCATATGATTAGTGATTATATATCAATCAACAATCAGGGTTCCTCTTCTAACATTTTAGTTATATTAATTTTGGGATATTAGCCAAAGGCCCGCGGCAGCGCGAGCCGTTTGAACGTAGGTTGGTTTCCACCGAAGCGAAGCGTAGGTCAGGAAACCACCCGAAGTGCTGAAAGGCTCGTATACTATAGTAAAAGTCTTCATTTTCAAGGTGAAAAAAGTGATCGTTTAATTTTCGATGAAAACCATGAGGGGTACCTCATGCTTTTTGGCCGATTTTTGGTCATATTTTTTTTTGGCCCAAAAAGTTGAGCAAACGTGTCAGGAAGTTACTACTACTCAAGTACAATTGTTTGGCGTCATTCCGGTGGCTCATAACGGTCTACATGTCAGGAGATGAAGGCTTGAAAGTTGTCAACCTTGGTAATGTTCATGCATTTGCTTGTCAATAGGCGCGTTTTTGCTATAATACTAAGGCGTACAGATATTGTACGCATTAATCTAGATTCAGAGCATGCTATTACATCCAAATATTTAGCTAGAGATAATAGATTGAGTGGCACTATCGTATCGTTGTATTATAGCACAATGATAGTACTGCTTATTAGTGAGATGATAGCAAGTGTAAGGCACACTGCACACTTCAGAAGCAATAGATAGTTTGCAACCATTATCTACTATTCTTGCAACTACATTTCAAAAGGCAGTTGGATAGTGCCATATGCTTCAGATACATTGATTTGAACTATTTCGTAGCTTCCTAAGAGTTTAGGATGCTGTAATGTGCCAGTGAAATCATTATTTTTCGGTATTCAATGACAATAATGTCCGTCCTTTCCAGGTTCCTTGATAAGCGAAATTTACGACAAGTGGTTTGCTGGCAAGTTATGTGTGTAATAAAAGGGTTTGAGGATAGGATTAGCCGCTAATACTAATCATAAGCTGTATTTTTTACAGTTATTAGACTGGAGGCTTTCAAATTTTGATGATCAAAAATCGACTTTCGAAATATTGAAAGTAACATGTTCCAATGACAAAGTTTTGCGATAAAAACAGCAATGTTATTAGATTTTAGATTGAGCAGGTTATTGTTGAGAAATTGACTTCTCAAAATAAGCCAACATTGAACCATGACCTTCATATGAGATCCTCTTGATTAAAAACGATTACGAATGATAGAACAATGGATGCGTTGTTAGGACACTTTTTATTGAAAATTGTCTGTCAATATATTGCTTCATTGTGGTTTGGCATAGGTGTTAAACTATAACGCACATATCACCTACTAGGAGAGGAGAAACAGCTTTTTCACGTCTTACGGTAAAAATTGCTTTTTTGGCCCTCAAAATTGGAGGTGACAGTGGCAAACACACATTTTTCTTTAATAATAGCACGGAGACGTCCATGCGGTGCTCAACTCCGGTAAGTAGACTTTGGGCGTAGAATGGCTGATAGCAATACACAACAAGGATTTTATATGCCCCATTCTAGCAAAGACTAGCCTTGTTCGATCGATTTTCAACTATTTGGTTGGGGCTGACCTAATGGACACTGCAAATCCACGAGAGCTAATGCTACAGCTTCAGCTGATTGAGATCTCAAACGATAGGCGCTTTCGAGTCTACATAATAGATAATGCTATAGGTGGAGTAGCGCAAATTCAGTAATTATTTCTCTTTAAAAATCTCCAAAATATAGTTGTTGCACACAAGCATGCATCTTAGGCTACATTCACTTTTTCCTCAAGCCACCTTTTACAGTGTAGCAGCATACATGATGTTTATCGTATCACATCACATCTATGTTTACAAGTCCAGTCAATTGTGTGTGCACAGGTGCCTCAGGAACTACAATACATTCAATCTCCCCAATGTCAAGATATCGAGATACACCTACACTACATGAAACATATCGACTTAGGTGGCCTCTCAACAAGCTATACCAA